AAGCAAAAAAAAAAAGTGATTAAGTTAGATGGTTATAGGGGGGCAGTCTGAGGTAAGGAATGCCGGAAAAGTCAGACAAAATGAAGCTGCTTTGATTCCCTAATGACGCCAAGAGGCAACTGCATCCTTCTCTGTCCATCAGACTGAGGCTTCATCTCCCAGACTCCTTCTCCAAATGTTCTCCAAATGTTCTCCAAATGTCCAGAACACCAAAGTTACCCTTTCGTTTCTGGTTCCACTGAGTTCCGTGTTTTAATTAGCCTCGGGTAACTATTGAACTTACCCAAATTGAGTCAAAGCAAATTGAATCGCGCAGTGAAATTAATTTACCTTAACTGTATAAGAACCAAGAGCATTTAATTGATAATTAACAGCTACTTAAAACCATTTTCGTCAAAAGAGGACAACTGGAAATTAGCCTTCAGCAGTGCCTGATTTCAGTCTGACATCAGTATGAATAAGACTAGCATGCTTTTCATCTTGCCCTGTGAGAGTAACATGCTATATTTATTTATGTAGCACAAGCTTTTATCCAAAGTAACATACAATTGAGACAGCAGGGTCAGCCAGTCCCAGGAGCAATTGGGGTTAAGGGCCTTGGTCAGGGGCCTGACAATGAAATAATTTTGCAACCTTAGGATATGAACCAACAACCTTCTGATCACTAGCACAACAGCTTTACTTGCCGAGCCGCACACCACTTCCTGCTGTTACTGATCTGTGACTTCACTGGTAGGCAGTGAGCTTGAACAGCCAGACAGCCTGTATGTCCTGGCGAGTATAGTGCCGGGAATCACTCTCCACACACCGAGAGTGACGACAGGAACAGCACTCTTTGGCACATGCAAAACTGTGACGCCCCTGCACAGTATAAGCACCTCCCTTCTGACCACGCATGCTCCATCCTGCCTCAGTCTGTGGTGGCAGAACACCAAACCAAACACTGCAAATAATGAGCTCGCCAAGCTCAACACTCTTGTCAGATACCTTTCAGCAAGTGTGCAGCAACAAGTGATGCAGGAATTAAGAAAACAAGCGACAGACCAAAAGGTTGTGGCTTGACAATACAAATGGTTGACCCTTGACCTTGAACGTCATTTATGTAACCTACTTTATAATAAAATATTGTGAGCTCCATGCTTCATTGTGGACTGTACTGTCAGCATAACTGTTATGGTAGCTGCCTACAGTATGTGTGTGTGTGTGTGTGCGTGTGTGTGTGTGCGCGTGTGTGTGTGTTTATGTCTGTGTCCCCTAGGTGGTGCTGGAGGAAGCCTGGGGGGGAGGGGGGGGGAGATATAAGAGCTTCCTGGGAGCAAAGGAAGAGGAGGGATCTGAACATCTGAGTGGAGAGCTGGAGAGATGGTTTTGGTGAGAGTTGCAGTGAGTTGCAGTGGAGGCCTTTCTTTGCAGTAGTTGCTTGGTTAAATCAGTGAGATTAAACCTAAGATGCCAGAAGGGGGGGGGGGGTCAGCACCTTTTCTTTTATGCCTGATTTTTCTCTTGTTTTTGGAATTAGTTAGGAAGAAAGGTTATGCCATTGTATTTTGTTTTCTTTTCTTTTAGATTAGTTTGTAGGTGGATTTAGTGGTGGTCAGTTCTGCTTGTTATTTAGGCCTCGCTTACTCCCTGGAGATATGGCTGTGATGCTCCAAATAAAGAGAGTGAATTAATATCGCTTTGGTGTAGTTTGTTTGGCCCACTCCACAGATACATACATATATATCAAGGCTGAGCAAAATACTGCAGCTGACCACACACACACACATATATATATATATATATATATAATCTCCCCCTCCCTCTCTCTCCCTCTGGTGTGATGTGGTGTGTGTCAGGGCCTAGACTGTCGTGTAACAATAAAATATTAAAAATGGGATCTATGATGCCTCTTGGCCTCAATCTACAGCCAGCAGTGACCTACAAGGGTAGAGATCTCTAACTCAAGGCTGTGCGAGATACTGCAGCTGACCACAACATCCTCTGGCTAAGCTCCTGAAGCTGTAGGGAGCTGTAGGTATTTGAGTTACAATGGCATTAGAGAATGCATTGTCTGATATGCCGCATTCTTAAAGCTCATTAAACAAAAAAAGTGCATGTGCTTATAAATACTGTATGTCACCATCCATCAATGCAACCCTCTTATCCTTATCAGAGTTTCAGGCTAAGTATATTCCTATTGTCAGTATGTTTTGAATGCATTACCTGGTAGCACAGCGGCTCAACGGATAGCACTGTTGCCTCACATCTCGAGGACTGGGGGTTTGAATGCTGTTTCTGCTCTGGTTGGTGGAAGTTGCATGTCCCCCCTAGGTTACACAAGTCTCCTGAAGTACTCTGACTTCATCCTCAGTTACAGTTCATGCGTTTATGCTAACCGGTATCTATAAATTGCCTGTAGCGGCGTGCAATTATATGTCCTGTGATGGACATGTATTCCCTCAGGGTGTACCCTAGTTTTGAGCCCTATACTGGGCTCCAGAAATCCTGTACCAGAGAGCATACATACACCCTGATCAAAACAAATGGTAATGCTTTACATTAACTACACCTTCATAATGCCTTTATAATGCATTCGTAGAACATTTATTGCATCTTCATAATGCATTCATGGAACATTCATAAGCAGCATGTAACTATACCTTTACATTAAAAACAAACATCATATGACAATAAAAGCCATTACAATCATATGATGTTTATTAATGTAAGTTGAAGCTGTTAAGGGATGTTAGGATGATTTAAGGTATAATTACAGCTGCTTATACATGTTCTATGAATGCAAAATGAATCCGTTATGAAGGCGCCATTGATGTAAAGCATTACCAAACGAATAATAATACAATAAAACACAAACCATAGCCTTCAGGGCCTTTAAACTGGCAAAGGTCTGACCCTGAATTGGTACGGGGATGATGGCCATGGTAGCGTATCTCTATCTTGCCCTGAAGGCCGAAACCGACAGCGGTCACAGTTTGCTAAGTAGCACCCAGCTGTTCAGCACTCGAACCACACGCTGTGACACCTCGTCAGCCTGCGCACTCACCCAAGTGCTGGGTGAGACAGCTTGGCGAAGATCTAGCAGATGCACCGGTCTGCATTTGGACTGAAACGTGATGTAACGCAAACAGTGCGATCATTCTGCCCTCCCCGGGCTAGCGGAATTGACCGCTCCCCTCCATCCCCCCAGCGCAGTGAAATCTACCAAAGGCAACCTCTCTGTGGACCTTGATTTTGTGTGGGTGATGAAATTATGAAATTTGGACCTCGGGGAATAATAGTTGAATACCTCTGCCTTGTATTGAGAAGAGAAATCTGTTTCCAGATATCCAGAAAATGAAAAGGCTTATATGCATAAAGTTTCCTGTAAAATAATCCATATTGTACATTTCCCTGGTGATGGTCAGGTGAATCTTAGTGTAAATAGTATAAATCCCTTGACAATGGAGAAAAGGACAGCAGTGGTATGTACAGTCAATTCAAACAGGCAATCTGCTGCATGCTGAGTGATCTCCATGGGAACAGTGTCTATGGTTACAGCAAATCAGGGTGAACTCTGCAGAGTCAAATGATACGGGACGACGTTCTCACAGGTAGTCAGGCCAGAAGGTCATGAGACCCTCAATAAATTAAAAGCCATGAAGAATCTTTGATAGCTTTGTTACAGATTAAGATCATGTCAGTTTGAAATCGATGCAAGCTGTCCATATGTCAATGCAATACTTCATGGCAAAAGAAAGCAGATTACTTTTTACTTTTATGCATCACAGGAGGACAAAAATCAATATTTAACTTTTAAAAAATCTTTCATAGAGGAATCAGACAAAATGGCACATAATCAAAACATAACACTCATTATCGTGTTATTTTATTACTGTTATTTGTACTTTGTTAGAAATGATGACTCCCACAACCTGCTGTCCAACTCACATTAGCAATCTTAGATATAAATAATATTAGATACAAATAATACATTTTTATACAAGCAGCAGCTACATAACTAACTGTCTGTAATTAATTTTGGTATCCTGTTGTTGAAATACATTGATTCCACTCTCTGTCTTCTTGTATAGCGTCTTTATTTACTTATTTATTTATATATTCTCTTCACTTTATTTTAACGATTTTAGAGCAGATGCGTATCCATCCGCAAAGTTGCTAGATACTTTTCTTAGCGGCTATCTGATATTTCAAAACTTTGAAACATGCAGTGTCGCCAACTAGCCACGAGGTGTCGCAGTATATCGGGTGCTTTAATTAATAATTCCGGTAATAGAGACTGACATGCCGGTCCTTGATCTTGGCGACCACCTATGCAGGTTAGTTTTTAATTCGAGCGGATAATTGGCCTCGTTTAATCTTTTAACTGTGTCCATTTTCAGCTACGCTAAACTGATTTCAGATCGGAGGAACTAGATTTTTTTTTCTTGCATTGTAGGTAATTATTTGTTTTTTCCTCCAAATACCAAACTAAAAGTAGATTTCTGTTTCCATTGACCTCTGATCGGTTTTTCCCGAACTCCACTGACCTGCAGTTCATTACCAGGTTTTTTTTTATTTAAAAAAATATCCGGCTTATCAAGCAGCTTATCAATCACGTTGATAATAAAAATGCAACTTTCTATCTGTCAGCGACAGGCTATATATCCTGTGATGGTGACATTGCACGTAACGTGCATAAAGAAAATTAAATACGGGTTTAAAGTGCCCCAAAACTCAACTAAAGAACGTTATACGATCGTTCAGTCAAGTGATGTTTACCCCTGTAACGTCTGATGCATTAAATAATAGACAGACATTTCTACATTTATAAAACTTAAGTTTTACTAACTTAAAAAATTCAAAAATATATGTCCAAATATTTTTCTTTAATTATACTGAACATCTCAAGCATTTCTGGTAATAATTATAAACCACTTATTGAAACAAAGAAACATTATGTTACATTTGGAAAAGATTTGCAACATTTTAAAATGTGTTTCTTGGCCCACAAAAGCCCAGCGTGCAGCAGCCTCCCGACGCCCCGCCGGATGGGGCAGCCCGAGTTCCGTCGACGGGGGCCCCGGCGTGTCCCGGATGAGGCTCGGCTTCCGTGCGGGGCGGAGGCGGCGCAGCTCAGTGCATCGGAGCGGGAGATGGAGCGAGGGCGCTGTGCCGACTAGCCGAGGCTCACGGCATCACAGACAGCCGCAGCCACCCAGATAACAAGTGAGGGGCGAGTCGCTGAAGACAAAAAGCGGGAGAGAGAGGAGGAAAAAGAGAGCAAACAGAGTGCAACTTTCACCTCCGGCCCGCACACACACTAACACGGCATTGATGGTGATGCATGCAAGGAAACAGCCGAGACTGAGCGATGGGTAAACTGCTCCGGCGTCGCCTCCAGCGCCCCGCTCCCTCTGCGCGAGCTCAGGGCCGCGCCGCCATCTTTGTTCAGACCAAAATAAGTGCAAACTTAACCGAGGGGGGGGGCACTCCGATTCGCGGAATTACTCGCTTTGCTTCTCCTTATTGACTTTTAAAAATCTTGTTTTTTTAAACACCTCTCCGTCCTGTTTCTGTTTTCTTTCCGCCGTTTTTAGGTGCAGCGAGCGAAGGGACTCCCAGCCGTACCAGGTATCCGCGCTCCGCCGGAAACGGACAGGGCAGAACGGGGACTCTGAGCAGGGCAGAACGGGGATTCGGAGCCGGGCAGGCCGCGGCGCCCGAGAACGCCACTCCGACCCAGAAATCCAGCCCCAGCACAAAATATTCGTATTTTCCCTTGTGCCTTATGCCTGGAAAGATGGTTTTATTCGCCTCTTTCGCATTGGAAGTTTAGCTCGAACGGGGCGCCTGGTTCATTTTTCCGTCGCTGAGGCCTATAAGATTACCCGGGGCTAATAGGGCGAATTATGAATAAGAACGGTAATATTGCCGTTGCCAATGTCAGTGATTATTAAAACCAATTGGAGTTGTCTTTTTGTTGCAAAATGACTGGTATCTCAAAAAAAAAATTTGGAAAAAGAAAATGGGCGTCAGCCTGACATTAACAAGTTAGCTAGCTTGTTAGAAACGCCAAGTTTTTCGCCGTATTGATGTGTCCTCCATTTCAAAGCGGAAAACCCAAATAATTCCATTTAATAATCTGTGGGTGTGGAGCTGTGCGTCTTAATACCTCGACCCATACGAGTTTTTTTTCTATATTTATAATTATAGTGTTGCTATATTTTGACGTAGCTAGATGCTGCTGTTAAGTGTTTCAAGATGCCAAGACAAATTATATATTTTTTATAAGTGCGGCTTTCAGGTGTATTAACCTACATTTCAGTCTGCATGCAGGTCTGCACTTTTCACGCATAATCAAGCTTAATCAAAAATTGAATTGAGTTGTGAAAGTCTGTTTATTTGCTCTGTACTGGCCTTTAAGGTGTAAGGGTGCTTTTGCATTGCAGAGCATTAAATACCCATCGAAGAGTCATTTGGGCAGTGATCACCGGCATGAGAAGATGCGAGATGCCTCGGACCCAGCCCCACCGTACAAGATGCTCCGGCGCTCAGATAGTCCTGAAAACAGGCAGGGTGACCCCTTGGGCCACAGCAAAGCGAAGGCAACCCATCAACATCGGCTTAGAGAGAGAGATGGAGGTAAGGACAGTGCAGCCGGTTTGGTGTCTGACTGTATGCATCCATTTGATCGGCTGCACAAGTGGTCTTAAGGTCTGCTTCAATCAAATCCCTTTTTTCTCCGTGCTGTAATTTCTTGTACGTGTATTCAAAGCGATGCAAGTTCATATGTGCACTCTTTCAAAAGTCAGCGGAGATGTCAAGTGACGTTTCTTTCTGGGAACATCTTTGTCACACAAAACGCTCCTTTAAAATAAATTATTTTCAACAGAAGTTTCCATTATCCTTTTGCTAGCTTATCAAGCCAGGTTAGCTATTAAAAACTGAATTAAGCTTATTTTCTTATAGTGCACTTTATAGTAGGGGTGTAAAACTCCAGTCCTGGGGGGCGGAGACCTGTTTAGCTTAGTTCTTTCCCTGTTCCATCGCAAATTATTCAGCTCCTAAGCAGTGTGGTGATTAGCACAAGGAGCTGCAAGGAGTTGAATCCGGTGTGTTAAGGGGAACCCAAAAAATGTGCAGGGCTCCGGCCCTCCAGGACTGGAGTTTGACACCCCTGCTTTCCAACATTGCCACTTCAAACTATTAGATAAATATAAAGATTTCAGGTTTGCTCGTAACTGTGAGTCAAATCTTGGCATTTTACACCTGCATCACAGGCCAGATAAACGCACATAATCATGCAAAATTAATATAGAAAGGAGCCAGTGCACAGAAAGCAGCCTGTGGCAGGATTAGTGAGGGTCAGTGTGGGATTCAGAGGCCAGCTAGCTGCCCGGCCCAGGAGGCTGTTAATAGCTTAACCCAGGTCACAGTGGTTCAGTGGGCTTCTGTACTTCAAAGACTTATTTGATGTGACCAGTGAATACAGTTGCTCTCCTGCTGCATGCTGATTTCTTGCGTACTTAAGCAGTATCCACACTAACCTCCTTATCTCCTATATCAGTTAACAGAAAGGAGTGCTCTATAAACACATTTTTGCTACTAATACATTTAGAAGTGATTGTTTCAATGTTTGCCTTTTTATGCAGCCAGGTATTTGAATGGGGTTGGTGTCGTTGTGTTTTCCATTTGAATTGTGAATCATGTTACGTTTACTATATTCTTGGTGACTGAATTTAATAAAACTTGCTTGTTGACTGGAATAACTGAATAACTGAACAGGACTACAGGACAAGTAAACATGTCATTTTAAACTACAGATTCTCCTTGACTTAAAATGGGGTTGCGTTCTTATGAACCCACCGTAAACGGAAAATATCGTAAGTCGAGAATATGATGGATAAATAAGTAAATAACTACTGTCACTGAATAAGTAATTACTGTAACTATATACCAGTAAGGGAAAAGTAAGCAAATGAATACAGGTTTATTTAGTTAACAATGCAGTATGATTAACTTAAGTTAAACGCTGTATGAGATGTTCGTGCTTGTGATCGCTACAGAGACTGGAAGCGTGGCTGTGCGGATCAGTAAAAGTATCGAACAGCATATTGCTACCCGGGAACCGATAAAACTTCAAAGTCGACTATGGGATGTGCATCACTATTGCACCATCGTCTGGTTAAAATATGTTAAGTCAAAGCATTGTAAAGCAAGAAGCATCTATGTATGAAAGTTCCCTAGCTTGTAAACAATCAGCTCGATGGGCCGAATGGCCTCCTCTCGTTTGTATAGTTCTTATGTTCTTATGTTCTTATCAGGTGTTTCCTTACAATATATTATATAATGGTTTGCACATTGCTTATTGGTTTGTGATAACATGGAACCCTGTGGTATTGTGACAGAGGTGGCATTGAAAGCTGAAATATGTTCTCGCTGCTTCGAGAGTGAGCAGGTTGTCGTACAGAATGTGTCCCTGCATATTCAGTAAATCCCAGCAGGAGTTCAAGAATGGAAAGCATGGAAGAATTTTGCACGAGTGTCTGAATCCTTTCATGTCATTCAAATGTTTTACACCAGTCTCAGAGATGATTTTGTTTTGAATGGAAAGTAATTGTCTATAAATATGGGAAATTTTTGTATTTAATTTAATTTGTTCCTACATTATGTGTGATTAGTTTCTCTCTCATGCAGTTGCCTAGCTTAATAAAATATTTCCTAGTGTGCGAGCATTTAAGGAAACCTAATGCCATATTACCTGTCTCATAGATTAGGTCGGCCTCATAGATCTAGTTTATGGTATTGATTTTAAAAAATGTAAGCATTATTGCTACTAGAAGTGTGCTGATAATTATCTGTACTGAAGTGGAAGGGGTATGTTTGCGTGTGCCACATTAATTCCACAGATGCTCAAAGTTAGTTTGAATGTCCTTGGAGAATATCTTTAAGTCATGCATGTTTGCATAAGTCAGGTGTTTCAAGACCTGGGTAGTACTTTGTCGTCTTGGATTTTTTATATTTCTGTCTGCAGTCTAGAATAAAAGGCGAAACTCTTAATTGCTGCAAACTACTGTCAGATTTGTTTTGTGCCCTTTGGGCATTAGATCATCAAAACATAAATGGTAAAAGGTGAATACTTTTTAAATTGCCCATTTGTTACCAGGTATTTAATATTTCGAATCTAATTTTTTGTTCACGTCGAATTTCCCATAATCTCATTTGCGGAGGGGGATCCTGGATTGTACCTTCAGCGTGGTTTCATTGAAACTGGTCCAAAATCACCAACTTGTATCGACGTGTGTGTGTGCAATATGATTTTTTTTTAACCTGTGTACAGCAGCAGAAGGGGGTTGTGTAGTTGTGTAATTTCAATACAATGCAAACGCTCTGCCTGCTATTTCTCATCCCTTTGTTTGAACATCTAAGAAAGATGAAGTCCTTTTTCCTGAATGTTTTAATTGATCTTTTCTTCGACAGATTGTTAATGAAGATGTTTCATAAGGATTCGTCATGTTCATAGTTTTGTTGAACCTATTGTTTGGAGAGATTTGTGACATGTTGACTGACTTGGTACTATGTTTAAATGTTCTCATCTTGTCTTTTAAGTGTTTATGCATTAGTTGAGCCAATTTCCTAATACTTTATACCCACAGATGAGTGTTTTTTTTTGGGGGGGGGGCAGCTCTATGCAGTGAGCCTCCTAGGTCTCACTGTTAATTTGATTGGTTATAAATTCTTCATCTGTGATCCCCCCCACCATTAAAAAGAAATATTCTCTGTTTAGTGGTAGTTTTAGCTGTACAAAATAGTTTGGTTTTTGTTCCCAGCATCCTGACCTGGCCTGTTGCAGTGCTGATGGGTCCTGCAGTCCATTTTGCTGATTTTATTATATTTTTTTTTCTTTTCAAATTATATTTGATCTAAGGACTTTATTTTTCTTCCCTCTCATCAAGGGACCAGTTATTCTCCACAAGAAAATTCACACAACCACAGCACTCTTCAAAGCTCAAATTCACATTCTAATCCAAGCAAGACGTCAGAAGTAGTAAGTATTTTTTTCATCTGTTGTGATTGTGTATTTGCATATTTTTCCCTTGATTGGTAGCATTCATTGTGCTCCTTTTGATGCCGATAGTTGCAAGGGGGTTTCAGGCCGCAAAACAAACATTCATAATTTTTGCGGGATGGGAGGCGGTGGTGGGGGGTGCAGACCTTTTGGGTTTTTCTTTTAAATGCTAGTTTTTGAAAAGCTGGATGTTTGGTTTGTCGTGATCCAAGACGCATCATCACTGCCCACTGTGATGCATTTATTTTGATACAGAAAAGTGCTTCATCCCACCTAAAAGGGGTAATTTTGGGCCTTTGCTTCATCACTCATGGTGCCGCAGAGTCTCGTATGTGAGGAGGTGTTGAATCTCAGTTCCACCCTCATGGTTTTGGAATCCCGTGTACTGCGGATTGTGATCTCGACGGGTAGTACTAGGTAACAGTTTGCCTGGAATGATCGTTTCCTCCTGTGTTAGTTATAATTATCTGCATTGAATGTTTTAATATTAAGCAGTAAGGCTGCAGTCCTGAAGGCTGTGACCCTCACTACGTCAACTAGGGCTGCACGACATCACATTGAGATTTAATGGCAGCTGTATGGAGTGTGTACAGTAATCACCAGGGCTTTCGATAAGCACTATTCCGACGCCCAAAATGTGTGTGAATTTGTATTCTTATTTTTAAGTGTTAGACTGCAAAAAGTACCACCTCGCTGGCAATGTCTTTGTACCTTGTTTAGCCACAATATCAGCTCTCAAAAGATGTGGCCGTTGAGCTGTGACTTTCTTCACCGTCTCTTCCGTGCTTATCGCTTCCACGGCTTTGCCAAGACGAGTGCATTGGCGTCAGCTAACCGAAATTTATGCGTACGTTTCATCTGCTATCCTACCTGGCCTATGATGAGCGTCGCCTGTTCCTAGCATCTACCTGAAAACAGGTGTGGCTCCCCAGAAGCCAGGTAGGATAGAAAACCCACTGGACAGTAGCTCTGCAGGACCGGAGGTGGAGACCCCTGCTGTTGAGTGATGACTAGCTGGGTTTCCCGAGTTCTCCCCATTCAGCTGCCGCCACGTAGATGGCAATTCTGTCTCCCACTGGATCCTCTTTTTAAATTGAGCTTCCTGCCCTTTCGTTAGTGTTTGTCAGTAAACGCCAATTCGTGGGCCCTCATTTGTTCTTTGTCTGGGTTTACAGAAAACCTCTTAAATATTGCAATCCAGTAAATATTACTAGGCGCCTAATCTCTTCATATATTGTCCATATTCATAATCCTGCAAAGCCGTAGTTGGAAAATAGGTAATTGCATCGTTGTTTTGAAAATAATGGTTGCGTGCTAAAAGGATCGAAGTTCATTTGGTTATTGTCTGCAGATTAGAGACTTAATTTGTGCATTCTGTGTTTAATGAATAGAGCGAACCACTAGGTTTTTGCTTGTTTTGGTTCGATTTTGAAATCATTTATTTACTTGTTAGAATATGGTTTAATAAAATTATTATTCCCGGACTCTTGTATGTTATCTGGGGCCCGCAAATGATTATGCCTCCCGGGTGTCTTTCTTGTTCGCCTCTTCTGCCATTGTCCCCTCCCGAGGCCCGGATTACCCCCATAAACAGGCCCTCAGCAACACACTACCTAAGACAGTTGAACTGCCTTGTGACACATCCCATACTCTTGAGGTATATGCTGAGCCATATAATTGCACAGTGCAGTCTGCTTCATCTCGTCCTTGATTTTCGAGCGTACGGCCCGGCATACCTCATGTATCCAATGGTGCTAGCTTAACCCCAAACATCTGTCGTGACCCCAAACTCTGCCAGTGGTACAGTCACAGTATGATTCTCTATGGGACCTGGCGCCCTGTCGTCTGTTTTCGCAGCACTTTCAGAAATGTTGTAGCCATGGGGTCTGACTTGGATGTGTGGCAATAATCTACGAATGCGCATTTCCGTGAATTATAGCCCAAGCATTCCGTAACCTCCAATTTGTGAGAGTCGCGGAGAGGTTTGAAGACAATATGATAATTAGTTGTTCTAGAGCTACCAGCTTGTAAAAAGCATGCTCCAAGTACAAGACATGGATTTTAATCTTAGAGGATGGTAAATGGCTAGCATTAACGTGGCATCCATTACTGGAAACGGACCCTGTTCACAATGTAACTTTGACCTATTGAAACTTTGCTTATTTGTACAATAATTTGGACACGGCTACTGTCTTTGCCCATCCATAGAAGGGGAGTCGCTAAGCCAAAGTATGCTGCTCGCATCTGCTGCTGGGATAGTTCACTCTGCATTTAGTGGTTTGCATAGCTTTCTACACGCTGTAAATCTAGTCTGTGGAAGGACGGGATAATGCCGGCCTGCCTGCTGAGGACAAGCCTTAAAATTGTGGGCTTCAGTGCAAGTTGATTTGTTTTATTGAATAAATTCCCATACTGATCTCTCAACATTCTTTAGTGGTGTGGTGGGGTGGGGTGGGGGGGTATCGCAAAAAGATGTTCCGTATGGTACTTGTGCATATTGAATAGCAAGAAGGTACTATACTGGCTACAGAAGTGATAATGGAAAGTGTCACACTGAAGGAATATGGCATGCATTTGGTAATGTGAGTGGAGAAGGGTCTTAGCAAAATGGCGGGGAGCAACAGGAACATGATGTTGGCATCTGCTCAGGGGTATGTTATCTGGGGCCCAAGGAACGGCAGCGTCTTTATAAAGGGCACAGGTGACGTGGATGAATATACTCATCTGACGATGCTCCCCCTTTTCCATTTATCTGCAATGCTTTTCTTAAGCAGAAAACAACTCCTCCTTCCAGAAATGCAGAAATCGGCTTCCGAGGATCCGACAGGAAGTCGCGTTTGATTTAACCCTCCATTGAATCTGAGATGGTTCATTTTCGGTGATATTTGCCCTGCTCCTCTGCCTTAGCCCTACGAACCAGCAGACGATTGGTCAGAACACATTAGCTCTTCTGGGAAGAAATACTATTACAACTGCAGGACAGAGGTTTCCCAGTGGGAAAAGCCCAAGGAATGGCTGGAAAGGTACTCCAACGTTTTGTTTTGATGCCTTTCTACCTTATTTTTTATTTATTTTTTTGCTTCTGTGTTGGTGCCACGCATGACACTGATTCGTGGTCTGTGTTCCTCATCCCAGAGAGCAGAGGCAGAAGGACACCAGCAAACTGGCCATGGTCAACAGCTTCCCCAAAGACAGGGACTACCGGCGGGAGGCCATGCAGGCGGCAGCGGGCGGCGGCTTTGGCGGCACAAGTAGGTCTGCTGCTATTGGCCGCTGTGTTTACAGGAGGGGCAATCGACCAATAGCTGCCTCTCTTGTATGCTGCCATTTAGCATCTGGCCCTCCGTTTGGTTGGGAATTATCATTTTGCAGTGTTCTCTATTGCAAGGCACCCCATGAAAGGATCGTGGTCATCTCCCCGCTCGTGGGTTGCCAGACCCGATCCACCCATTTGTATGTTTTCTCCAATTTCGTGCAGCTGTTCTCTTTGATTTTCTTACTTGACTCAGTCTAGTAGTTTGGGTGAAAAAATTGGACCTCACTTCATTAATTTGATGTGGAGCAATAAAATGTGTTGGGGTACACCTGTAGTGTAGGGACTCTGTTGGGTGTTTACTAAGGACAGGCAGTAGGTAGCATTTAGGTGACGTTTAGGCCATGAGACACAGGGTCAGGACCAGTTTTTCCCCCCCCCAAATCGCTTCAAAACATCAATCTTGGTGAATTAACTGTTTGCTTAGGGTGGGTTTTTTAAAATGGTGGTAGGTAGAATCTGTAAGGCGTTTGTGTGAAGTAGACAGTATGGGTCTGAGCGTAATGTTTCTTGTTTGCCAGCAGGTTGGCATTTTACTGGGCTCCACACGTAGCACCGAGCGGGAGCCTGATTATGAAGATCTCACGAGTAGCGCGGTAGCAGCCGAAATGGTCCTTAATGCTGCAGGAAGCTTTATAAAGGCAGACTTAGGAAATCGGACTGGTAAAGCTTGTGACTGGATTGGCTATTAAAGTTCATAAGGATAGACCTGCATACGTACACAGTATGTGTTTACCTTATCAATCCTGAACTAGCACAGCACATTTAGACAATAATGAACGGTAACACTGCAAAAAATATTCGATTAAGTATTACAGTGAATTATCTCATAACTAGTATTTATTAGTACCATTGCACAATGGGTTGAACAGTGACAAATAGGTATAAATGACAAATGAAACAAGTTTAATAAGCTATGAAAATAATCTGAAATGTTCCATTTTAGGGGGTGGCATGGTGGTGCAGTGGTTAGCACTGTTGCCTCACACCTCTGGGACCAGGGTTCGAGTGTGTGGAGTTTGCATGTTCTCCCCGTGTCGTCGTGGGGTTTCCTCCGGGTACTCCGGTTTCCCCCCCCCACAGTCCAAAGACATGCTGAGGCTAATTGGAGTTACTAAATTGCCCATAGGTGTGCATGTGTGAGTGAATGGTGTGTGAGTGTGCCCTGCGATGGGCTGGCCCCCCATCCTGGGTTGTCCCCTGCCTCGTGCCCGTATCTTCCGGGATAGGCTCCGCCCCCCCCGCGACCCAGAAGGACAAGTAGTTTGGAAAATGAATGAATGTTCCATTTTATTAGTTGGCAAGATCCATTTGAGTGGAGGGCCGCCAGTTGATGAGTCCTTGCCCACAGGTTTGAGACGGTTCGGAACATGATGCACTGCGTGAAAGTAGCTGTCTGAGTGCAGTGTCCCCTATCGCACTGCGCTCCCTCAGTGAGGTCCGCGTTGCCAAGGGCTGATTGCTCTATAGCTGAGGACTCCCTCTTGTGTCCACAGAGTGCACTGCATCAGATAAGCCTGCGTCACATTCCTGCGCGCCCCAGTCAGTGCCAGCAGCAGCGACCTGCTCTGGCTCGGGCCTGAACCCGGCCAGCGCGGCGAGCGTTGGGTCGGCCTCCGCGCTCCCCGTATCCCCGGTCCCTCAGTCGCCTGCGCCCCCCCTCCTCCAGGACCCTGGGCTTCTGCGGCAGCTCCTACCCGCCTTACAGGCCACCCTGCAGCTCAACAGCGCCACCGTGGACGTGGCCAAGATCAACGAAGGTGAGGCGCACCCCTCCCCTCCCCTCCCCGGCGCAGCGATGCCCTGGCCGAGCTTCCGCGGGCGGGGGTGTCTTTGAGGGACACGCCTGCCAGAGCAGCCAGGACCCCAGATGCCACAAAGGCCCAGGTGCCGTCAGTGGGATCTGATGCATGAATTTGACCGGCTAAGAGCAAATGAGAACTTGGGCTTTTGAGGTGGAAGCGCTGTTATACCATAGATTTGCGACCAACTGGTTTAAAAGCTCAGGTCCTAGGAGGGTTCCCGCTATTGTGCTCATGAAAGAGCATAAATGGAACTTCTCCCCTCCTGTTTAATCCCCCCTTCCTGAATTGCATGTGGGGAGGGCAGGTACACGCCTTTCAAGGGGTCCCCCTCATAGCGGCCTTGTCTCTGCATTGCCCCCCCGCCCCTCCGGCTCTGCCTTCCTTACCCCAGTCCTTCCCCTCCTTCTGGCTCGGCCTGCAGCTCGGCGCTGCTTGCGAATCTTCTGCTCCTCCCCTTCTGTTATCGTTTAGCCTTCCTAGCTGCTTGTGTGTGCGTGCACGTGCATGCCCGTGCGTGTGTCTTATCGTTACTGTACTTGTGTACCATGAAGGCTAGCTTTAGCACGCCAAACCTCTGTTTCTTTTGAGCTCTTAGTTTAGGATCGGAAGACACTGGAAATTCGGCCTTGTGGGGTTTTATTTTTCTTTCCATCTCTTGGGAGAATGTATTCTCATACTTTGCAGTGCCTTCCTGGAGGTTTCTGCTGTGTGTCAGTAAGGAGGTTGTTTAATTGCAGCCTGTTATGATCGGTTGCTGTGATATGGAATAGTTAAGGCGAAATTTAGATGACTGCAGTTTGAATGTAGTTTCTGAATCTATAGCTTAATAGAACTTTTGTCATGTGTTTGCTCTTGCAATTTTGACCACTTACAAGCAGTTGAAAAATGTTGCTGGTGACAGCTGTTGTCTATCAGCATTTCCAGGGTCCTGATTTCTTGTGTTATCATCCATCACCCACTGGTGTTCAGGTGCCATTGTAATAGAATCACCTCTGATGGGATGGTGCTTTGAGTTGGCTAGTGGGTTTGATGGTCAGCAGTGCAGTGTCATTACCAAACACTGGTTTTTTTTGGTCGTGTTTGACTGACTAAGACAGGATGCTTCAGCACAGAAAGCTTCTCAAAGTATGCCGGTGTGCAGTCACTCGTGATAAATGGTGAGACGTGAATGGAGCAAAGCTGTAAATTGAACTGTGTGTGTGCGCATTTCCCATCAGGGAGCCCTTGCTAGTGGACTGCAAACTTTTAACTGAGTCACGAACAGCCATGTCCGAGCAAAACGCTTTTTTAAATAATGAAATAAAAGCGGTGAGGTCAGCCGGTAGCCTCCCCTTCATACTAAGCTTATAGCCTTATCCAATAGACGAACTGAAAAGACGGTGACTAAAGATAGTTAGTTTGAACTCCCTGACTAATTTAAATATGGACATTAATGTTAAGGCTGAGTTTTGGTACAGATGCTCCAATTTTGATTCGTTTCGGATTCACAGGCTTTCAAATCGATTCAGTCCAATTCGATTCCGATTTGATATCAATTGGATAGGAGTGAGATATGAAATACTATTTAGAAGCTTTCCATATTTGGACAGATATTTTAAAAAGCTGTAAATTGAACACACATTTACAAATTCAGAGTCACTGGAAACATTGTGAAAACCACTGAAGGAAGGCCAGAAGCTTGTATAACACAGCCTTTTTATTTGAGGATCAGATGGGTATACTTCCTTAACTTGTCCCTTTCAAAGCACAAAAATGTCGTCTTGCTGAAAATGGAAATGGGCAAGTCTAAAACTCACTTGCCATGATTCAGAAGGACTTGGATATATGCCAAAACATAAAACTGAATCTTATTTGAGAAACATATGGGTATTGTTTAGGACTGGGAATCAGCCCTGATCTCACAGTTCGATTTGATTTTAAGTGCCTGATTGGATTCAATTTCAATTCTGTTCAATTTACGTTTAAGACATTCATAAATGGACGATTTGAAAAAACAGGCATAGCACTGTAGTGTCATCATTGCAGAACAATGCAACGTAATTGTATGTTACATTACATGACGGAAATAAGGTAACGAAAAGTAATATATAATAATCATGACATTTATTCTTGCATTTACCTTTTGAATATACCAAAGTATTTTGTCCAGCGTTTTCCCTCTGCAGTTCTCATACCCATCCGGAAATAATTATACCTCCAGACTTTCATTTTCTTCAGTTTTCTTCAGTTTTACCCGCAACTTTTGCAAGAAAACAGGTTTCACAATATTTTCATGACTGGCAGTAGGTCCCATCCAATAAAATCCATGTATTCTCTTTACATTGTTTGCAATTATTTCATTTATATTAAAAGCAAATATATAAACATCCAGTAAGCAGTGTACTGAATATGGCTGGTGTGAAACTAAAGCCCTAGTTGAATTGTTTGCATTCATGTGCTCGGAGTACTCCATTACCATGACTGACAATGCACCAAGATGGCGGCATGAGGCTACTGAGCAATTCTGTTACAACCCTTCTACAGGTGACAGAGAAAGTAGTGCCACCTATATGATCAGAGGTCCAATACAAGTAAAATTCATTTTTCATTTTTAAAGTGATGGAGGAAAGGTATAAATTAACTCTATATCGAATTGTCTAAACCAGGATTGCGATTAATCTTAATCTGTTTTTCCCCACCACTACTTTTACTGTTTTTGGTGGCTGTAAGCATTGCATGTCTCGTTTAGATATATGCAATGGGGAGAGCATTTGCCTCGTTTTGGTGACATTGTTAGCATTGTCAGATGTGCATGGTTACCTGTGGGATCTCAGAAATGGGTCCATGTTTCTCAAGATACTTGGCGCCCATGTAGTATGTGACTTAAGGTTTCAGAGCTCTGCAAGCTGCAGGTGAGCTGCTGCCCTTTTAGAAGGCATGTGCTACAGGGAAGATGCACTGAGAAGCGACCCCGCATGACGCTTCCTCTGGGGACTTAGGGGTCCGAGGAGTCAGCCGGGTCGCAGCAGGAGGATGGATGAGTGCAGAGAGGGGAGCGAAAGGCGGCCGGCCTCACGTTTGTGTCTCTCTCTCTCTCTGTGTTTCCCCTTTTTTGTTTTTTTTTTGTTTGTTTTTTTCTTTTAGCCCTCACAGCTGCTGTCACGCAAGCTTCATTGCAGTCTATGCTTCATAAGATTCTCACGGCTGGACCGTCCGCTTTCAACATCACTTCTATGCTTCCCCAAGCCGCTCAGCTGTCCGCTCAAGGTATGGCTGCAGTTGAAGTCGCAGACGCTGAGGTATTCTGTCCCGAGTTCTTCAGCAGGATCTTGTGGCATATGAAGGTTCCTCTCCGGTTAAGGGATGAAATATGAAGGCATATTTCAGAATTTTTATGGACCTTTGATTCCAAAGTCGCACAAAAATTCAGGTCCTTTTCGATTGTGACCAGCTTTTAATTAGGGGGCCGTACATGCATGGAAGGTGTCTCTGCTGTTTGAGGTTCCCTTCATTCCCTTTGTGAACGTCGTAAGTGCTCAGAACATTTCCGCTCCCTCAGATACATCGAGTTGCCATCTCTGTGTGTACGTTTGCGTTGCCACTGAAGTAAATTTGAAGGACGCACATGCTAATCTCCCCCCCCCCCCCCTTTTATCACGGCATTAAAAACCACAGCCCAGCAGTCCAGTCAGTCCCCCATGTCCCTAACGTCAGACGCCTCGTCACCAAGGTCGTACGTGTCACCCAGGATAAGCACCCCACAGACAAACACTGCACCTCCACTGAAGTCCCTTTCCAGCACGCCGCCGGTGTCGTCACAGCCAAAGGTAGGCGCCATCTCTCCCACAATGCATGATGTCAGATGAAGAGCGATGTAGGAAGGAAGACTGAGCCTGGCCCGACGTTCCGGCTGAGCATGTCTGCTCTCTGTGCTGTGCAGGTCAGCGTCAGCACGCCGGCACCGAAACCTGGACCCGTACCGCAGGCGGCCGCGCCGCAGCAGCCGCTCCCAGCCGACAAGCCGCTCGAGCGGGACTCTCCCCGCAGCCTCCAGAGGCAAAGGTAGCGTCTGCTCCAGGCCAAAACGTCACTGGGCTTTTTATCTTCCATTTCCTTAACTCCTACTATAAAGACAGTGGAAGAAATGTGGTAAAGATTTTTTTATTTGCAGTAAAAGCCACCCCCTCCTCCCCCCAGCATAGCGAATACGGCAGTATACCTTATTTGGTTTTGCTTATTTTGTGATTGGATTGGTGTTTTGCTGCCATCTTTTTGTGTCATAGAGAACTGCAGGTGGCATCCTGCATTGGTGACTGTTTTCATCGCTTAGTGTTGACGTGCCCGTACTCAGGAGAGCTGTTGGCTTAGCCTCTCAGCACCAGGATGTCATGCTAGTTATGTTCCTAATGTACGGCCTGGTTCAGGCTTTGTGGTGGGAACCTTGAAAGTGCTGAAGAATAAATTATTTCATAGCCCCTAGTGGCTGCTGAAGAAAACACGCCCCTCCCCTCTGTCTTACAGCAGTCAGAGGAGCCCCTCCCCTGGTCCAAACCACATCGCTGCCGGCAGCAGCGTAGCACCGACCGGTGCCCTGGCCCCCAGCGGCATGCCGGGAAGGCCGACCTGCACCTTAACCCCCACACTAGCATCCCATTTTAACGAGAACCTCATCAGGCACGTGCAGGGCTGGCCGGCAGAACACGTCGAGAAGCAGGTATGCATAGCTCTGCATGTGTGTCCTGCTGTCGTCTCAGTCCTTTGCTTGGAAGCATGTTAGGATGCCTCATCTTTGATCGGAAGGTCACTGGTTCTAATCCCTGAGTAGGCCGAGCAACTTCACCATTTTGCCTTTGAGCAAGGCCCTTAACTGCGAATTGCTGCCACGACTGTCTGACCCTGCATTCACTGTGTATCGCTTTGGGGGAGAGCATCTAAGTAAATAAGACGTATTGTTATAGTATCGGCGTGTATCTGTCAGTAAGATGGCCCCTGCCTGAGGATGTCTAACACCGTGCTGTTCACTTTCCTCCTCCAGGCGTCACGGTTACGTGAAGAAGCCCACAACCTGGGAAGCATTTACATGTCTGAAATTTGCACAGAGCTGAAAAACTTAAGATCCTTAGTGCGAGTGTGTGAGATCCAAGCGACGCTGCGCGAGCAGAGGTACGCCAGGCCGTCCGCGGATGCGCTCTGATCTACGCGCTAGCTGCACATCACTTAGCCCTGCTGCTATGGCCGTTAGCGGGGCGCTCTGCTCTGCATGCTAGCTGCACATCACTTAGCCCTGCTGCTATGGCCGTTAGCGGGGCGCTCTGCTCTGCATGCTAGCTGCACATCACTTAGCCCTGCTGCTAAGGCCGTTAGCGGGGCGCTCTGCTCAGAGTTGGCTTTTCATGCCTTGCTCTGGCAGCAGTGGGTGTTCTATTTGCAGACATTTCAAAAGGCAGGTTCAGTGTTGCTGTCTCATAGCTTGACATATTTTTTTCACCTGCAAAGAACATACAGATGGTAACAAAATTTGATTTCCTGAATGAAATGACTGAATATATTCAACTACTTTCCTGTAATGCACTTTCATACTAGACTATAACCGGATATATAGAGAAACCGTCAATATGCAGTCAGGTTCCTCTGTTAATCCAAATTGTAAGAATACTAATTGGCTTGTTTAGAAATTACCCCCCTGCAGCTAGCAGAATTATTTGTAGTCATTTTGCATGTGTTTTGTAGCATGTTTTTGTCAGTAGCAGTATGGTTTTAAGTCGCTTACTGTGGAGACTACTGAAAAATGTTATGTTTAAGAAGCCAGATTTTGAATAATTTTGAAATATTTGCATAATTGCTTTGATAATTGAAAATGGGTATTTAATCCCCCCCCTTTCCACCAGGATACTATTTTTGAGACAACAGATTAAGGAACTTGACAAGTTGAAGAATCAGAACTCCTTCATGGTGTGAAAACTGGAGGGAAACCGAACTTCACACAGCTGGAGCTGAAGAACTGACTGTCTGTGGCCAGTCTTAATGCTTTGGGGCGGCTGTTGGGTGGGGGCTTCGGACCATTGAGCAAAGCTGGGGGGGGGGAGGCAAAGAGGCATCCAAGGGCCGAACCAGGTTTGGATTATAAAAGGCCTTAATGTAGAATTCCTGTAGATCTGTCCATGTTGTAAATACGTTTCGTAGAGTGAGGCCTCAGAAGAAAGAGCCACATGGGGTTTTAACATCAAGACTAACAGACACCAAGATGGCTGCCCTTTGGCCTTCTCTTATTAACCTGTCTGCAAACTCTAGCTCCTCTCCACGGATCACGGAGTCAGCGGCTGGGGTTTGTGTGCCACGTGGGAGAGATGTCCGTCACGGCCAGTGATCTTTGGTTGATCAATCCCTTTCCAAAAGAATCAGAAGCCAGACTTGGAATTCTTAAGTGCTCTTGACTTCCAAACAAAGCTTTGGGAAGATGCCGGAATAACAACCTGCTGGAACAGAAGACACTTCTCCCCCCCCCCCCAAGCCTCCACAGCCCTATCCCTGGAATGGCTCTTGTCCAGCTGCGATGATTCACAGATGGGATTCTGACAAGCAGTGATGTCACACTTTGGTCGAGAGGTCAGAGGTCACCTGATGACCGCGAGGTGTAACAGTGCTCCAAAGGACAAGCAAGGTGCCCCCACTCCCACTGCCTCCCCCCTTCTGCCCGTGTAATTTCAGCACCTCAAGAGGACGGTGTCCATTTACCATCTAACATCCCTATTTAGTTTCCAGATTCCTTACTTTTTGTTACACAACTGTACTTTCAAAGCAAAACGTGCAAAGTTTTAGGTTTTCAATGCACCTTGAACCAAGATTTCATTCCTATGTACAGTTGATCAAGTGATACAAGAGGTAAGTTTTATGAATAGTTGCAGTGATTACTAGTATATCTGATGTATTCATAAATTATTGCTACACATTTTTCTTTGCACCCTGTAATGATGGATCGTGTGTGCTGCTGGGCACACTGGCTGAAAAGGGGCGACTCAGGCACGGAACTCCACGTGGCAGGGTTGGAGCGGCGAGGTCACAAGGTCAAATGTGAAATGTATGTATTGTAATAAACATACTAAAATTGAGTCAAAACTGGTCTTCTGGTTCTTGCGCATCAGAGGTAGACTTCCTGGTTGTCCAGGAGGTAGTGCAGATATAGCACTATATATAATATAGTATACACTATATATAGTGCAGATATAAGCAGAACAAATTGAGAAATTAGTGTGGTGAGGTGTCCCATGGTGTGCTGACCCTGGCTTTCTGGTGGTGCAGTTGGCCTGTTACCCATTTGCACCAGTTCCCTAATCCAAATCAAGCATTTCCAACCTTTTTTATGTCGTCTGCTGCTTCTACAAAGAAAACAATGTTGTGGTTGAGGGTAAGAGGTCCTGCGTCTCTTACTGGCTCCTTCCAGGCTACTAGTAGTTTGCAGCGGATGCATTAGCTACCACTGGTCCAAAAACATGGCCGAAATGAATCGGTGTCTGCAAACTGCCTGTGATGTATGATTGTGTGCCCTGTTGTGCACTGGCACCTTGTCTAGGGTGTCCCATCTCGTGCTTCCTGAGTTTAATGATGAATTGCAGAAGGACTCTGCAGAGGATCATAGGGTAGCAGTGCACTAACACATGCAGGATTTGGGGTTCAGCTCCTACCGCAGCTTATAATTCATCCTGGTATATCTGTGTGCTTTTGTTTGCTCCCACAGTGGCTATGGCAGGGCTGTTCAAATCTGAACCTCGATTCCAAATCCGGGCCTTGTTTTCAGGTCTCCCAAGTCGTTAGTCACTGATTCTGATTGACCAGAGCCTTCACACCTGGCTCACGGGTAAAGGAAGGCTGGAAAATCAGCATTGCTCTTCCCTTAAGACCCGTGATTTGAATAGCCCTGAGGTATGGTACAGGTGAATTGGGTGTTTGTCTCTCATACTGCACATGCGCACACCCTAGATCAGCGATTCTCAACCCATGGGCGGTGATCCAAATTTGTCCTGCGGCAAGTTCTTAAAGGGTCCCAAGGCAGAGTTGGAAATGCAAGCAAGTTCCTATGCTGACCCACGATCAGATTTTCCAGCCCCAATCCTAGAATTAACCTATATAACCGGGGTCATGGGTCTGCAAATGCTTGGTAAAAACTAATGAACACTCAACCAATCCAAGCCAAACCATAGATGCTTAATTTAAAATTCACTGTCACATCCAATCTGCTTTGTGCGATAGGCATTGATTGGCATAAATGGCAGAATGTACTGTGTGCTTGACCTAAGCGTTAATTAAAACCTATACTTGATACAGGACACCCATTGGCCTCGATGCACTTTGTGTTCTGGTTAAGCAGTATTAGAAAAATGTAAACTGATTTCTATTATTTACTTTAACGAATATGCTTAGTATACCCTGATAATCAACCGCAGTATTTTAGAATTACAAAGGTCTTGATTGTTTTCTTATCGGGGCAGCGTACGATTTTTCTTCAGTTTTAGGTTAAATTGCTTCATGGGCTACAGAGGTAGTGGGTACTGGTGGATTATCCTCATGAAGAAAGCTTGAGTTTCAAGACTCGATGTTCACTAACACCGCGAAGGATACAGCGCCACTGGAGACATACGGGGAAGCGCGGCTGACGTCAACTCACTTTTGACTGGATTCATGCATTAGCTGAGACTTCCAACTTTTGCCAGTAGATGGCAACATCGAGTTAAGGCAACGAGGCTATACGTCTTGCATATAAACTGCAGAAGATCGTAATGTTACATACACACTAATAAACGCATATACATGAGCCGCAAATTAATGAAAATGTTAGTAAGATATTACTGCAGCCACGTAGGCCTAATTCATTTCACGAAATTAATTTGCCAATATCAAAGCATGCTGACCTATACAAGTCGTTATTGTCCTCATATTTTGTTTCACTGAATTCACGAAAATTCATATTCTCCCAACCAGGGAAGACATGTACCCCACAATATTTAGTATGGCTTCATTCAACCCCTCGCCCCCCCCCCCCCCAAAAAAAAACAAAACAAAAAAAAAGAAATAGAACTTTTCCAATACCAAACTCTCTCCTACGTGCTTGCTCCCAGTAAATCTGGTAATTAAAGCCTCCCAAAACATTTTGGTAAAGATGAAACCATTTACCAGGAGTCGGAATTAAGTGTGGTAAATCTAACAGCCTGTTCCGTCCACATGTATTGCTCAACCCATGACAATATCCAGTGATACAAGTGAATACTGTGCATCGCTGGAATGGGATTTGTAGAAAACATTAAGTTCGCAAGTTTCTGCGTAGTTTCTGTTTTTACATGTGAAAACATGGCAGCAATGCGTAACGCAATGCAATTTCATATCTTTTTAGAATCTTCCTAAAAATACTCTTTTTCTTAGGTCATAAGTGGATGTTTCCTCCAAAAGAACTTCAGTAACACCTTAAAACTTTTTTTTTTTATTATTATTTCTTAATTTGACCTTTTCAACCAGTTCTGAGTGGACTAATAAAATTATGTTGTATTTATCCATGTTTTGATATCCATCAGACATCCACGTGTTTTTAATGTTATTGTTTTGAGTACAATAGAGCGCAAGACACTATCTGTCATCTCTGTGGCGCCATATTTTTCCATCCCTTCCTCTTGATGTCTGATTTTACGAACGTTGTTTTTATCTGCCCACCCACAACCGTCCATTTACAAAACTAGATAATCACGATCTCCGGAAATCATTTCGCAAGGCACAGGTAAACTACGTACAAACAATTATGGTTAATTGCGTGTCGTCATTAAGAGGTAATATACCATCAATAGTATAAACATGAATTAAATGCTGCATGTAAGCATAGCCGTTGGTAAATTAATATACCGTTTTTTAACGACGAATTCCAATCTTGAAGCTTCACGTATCTTGAAAGCCGGATTTTAATAGTATATGGCAGTATTACATCATATTGTGCTCCCGCTTTCATGAAATAAGTCATTTATATGTTAATAAGGCTAAACGAATCTATGTTTTCAAACTGCCGTTCGCAGAAACCTGCCCGCCGCCCCGCGCCGAATCACACTACGTCATTTCTATCCGCGAGTGGGCGGGGATTTAGCTGCGCGGCGCGCCAATCGTCAAGCGGATGCTAATTAATATGTAAATGACGCACCAGCGGAGAGGGCTGACTCGAGCTCATGATGAGAGCCGTGCAAAGAAACCTTTCCTCTCCGGAGCCGCTGCTTTATTTTTCACGGGGATCACCGGTAGGAAGAGAAAAGATCATATTGGGATACTGGCTTGGTTATACCACGACGGACATAAGCTGACTCGTCAGTGAATGATATTAATTTGCACGTGTTTTCTCAGACCTGACGAAATATATTCATTTAAGTTCTCTTATGTCTAAAATGCAAAAGGTCCTTGTGATAAACGATGATCTCTGCATAGTTTTAAATGCAGGGCAAAGCGGTTTCTCATATTAAATGCACTTTGGTTCCGCCTGGAACAGCCGGGCGCAAACAGTTACCGGAGTCCAGCGCATCTCCTTCGTCCATGCCGTTTTTGCGGAACGATCTTCCATAAGACTGTCGGAAGAAAGAGGATTTTATTATTGTTTTTTTATTCCTAAATGGATCGCCATACTAGTTTAATTTCTATTTGGCTTCAGCTGGAACTTTGCGCCATGGCTGTTCTCCTAATAAAAGGTAGCCGTCTACTTGTCCGATCGTCCCTGGGAAATTACCCGTTTTTACCTGGATAGTTCCGTATTTTCTACCGTCTGTTTGATAAGCTGAGCGTTACAACTACTTGTGGTTTGATGCGATGGACTTGATCACTCCGGTTTCAGGATACGCGTGAAAAGCTGAGAAATCTACGCTGATCATATATGAGATAATAAGTTAATCTATTGTTAGCGTGTAATGTTCAATAAATATATGACGCAGGCGTGAACTTATCTGGGTAACTTCGTAATTGTTTGATGACTTTATATATGTTATATATGTTTCATGATTTTTATGTAAGTAAATGAAGTGAGATGTGCTTAGATGGTGTAAGACTTGCTCCAGCATAAACGGCTTCAGATTTACAGTATAGGAAACTAGTTCGCGGCCCGAGTGCAACTTTGAACATTTGACTCCAATCCGAGCAAAGCTCAGGTTTATAGGAAAATAAAACCTGGGTCTTCAGTTCCAGTCCTAGTCGAAAGCTATTTACTGTGGCTAATAGACCGCTGGTTGTAATAGCAAGTTTAAAAACAATAGGGATCCTGTAGCTTCCATGCACGGTTGTCATTTATGAAATTATTATTAAACTGTATGACCATTTCCAAAATTAATTTAACCAATGTCAAAATTAGTTTGGCATTCTAAACGTTTTACTTTTAAAACGTGTTCATTTGCGTGTTGGAGCGTTGCAATCTTTTAGTCACCATCGACTAGCTGTGCTTTTAATTTCAGTGCATGGGTCTAAATATTTATTATAAGAGTACATCTGGATTTGGAAGACGGCCGTAGGGAAGAGGTCTGTTGAAGAGTACCCTAAATAAATTCTGTATGTTAAATAGTTTCATGCTTTGACCAACAAGACTAGCGGCTAAAATGAGTTAATTTCACTTTCACATATATAATTTTTTTAATGTTTTGGCCAGGGTTGGGCTGATTCTACTGTCTCAGTTTTATATTGCTTTGGGTGAAAGGCTCTAAATTAATGTCGATGTAAATTTGACTCAAATAGCTGAAATATACAGTGTGATATTTTAACTGCCATATATTTCCTTCGCAGGGGAAATAAGGTGTTACTGTGACGCCCCGCACTGTGTCGCCACCGGCTACATGTGCAAGTCACCGCTAAACGCCTGCTTCACGAGGGTCCTGGACCCCCGCAATGTGAACTCGCCCCTCGGCCACGGGTGCGTGGACTCGCTCGCCCCCCTCGACGTGTGCGCGCCTAGGGGCGTGGAAGGCGCGCCGGGGGGCTCCGGCGCGGCGCGGTGCTGTCACGACGATATGTGCAATTACAGAGGACTGCGAGACCTGGAGCCGCCTAAAGGTGATATGTCGGTTTCAGGGCGAATCCTTACTTTATTTGCCGACTGAAATACGTCCAGGGATGCAGATACTTTTTTTTCCATTCTAATAGGGCTTGCAGAGGAGAAACGGGAGAAATAAATCAATAATATGTTTATGCACGCTTTCCTGTGGCTAAAATAAAAAAGGGTTCTCGTTTTATAACTAGAAGCAATACGAGTCTGTTCGTTCTGCGCAGGCTTTGAGTTTCATGGCATCGTGATACCGCGATATCAGGCCTGGAGCACCGCGCTCAGTTCACAGGGTCCTGGTTCCTTTCACCGTGCTTTTCACCACGCTTTCCCGAATGTGATACCCGTTCAGTTCTATCGAACTCGTTGGGTTTTTGATTGGGTACTGTGCACCGATACTGAAAGTGATTGAAAGGTTTGGAAACGGAGGCGATGATAGTGACACTGGGGGCCCTAGGCAAAAAATAAATAAAAATCCACTTCCCGTCCCCTCCCATGGTAAAATTTATTACCCTTTATTGTGAAGTGTAAATTAATAATATGAGCAAAGATAATTTAATAAACTCAAGACCTTAATTTTCACTTTTGGAAAAACAATGTACTGTGTAATCGGTCACCCTGGGGGGGGTGACCAGCTCAGACAGCCCCAGTCCTGTCTCTGCTTGGAAATGCATTTCATTTATTCATCCATCCATCCATTCATTTATTTAAGCCAAAAACAATGCTCATAATTTCCAATCATGTACACATCACAGAATACAGGAGCGTGGGGATGAACGCTGGAAGACAGTAGATCCAGCAGAAAGATTTATGTCGGGGTGTTATAAATCAGTGCCTCTCATTGGTTATGAACACGGCCAATGTAACTAAACGGTTCCAATGACTAAAAAGTCCTACAAGAGCCAGGTAATAACTGGGACCTTTTCTGATGGAATATCCATCTGCATCGTAATAGCTGAGAGAAGTCAGCTGGTGAGATGGGGCTTGAGGGAAAATGAACGTTAGATGTTTGAGGTGTTCCTTGGGGAGGACTGCTTTGAGAAAGGTACTTAACCCGAATTCCTGTCACCTTAAAGTTTTCTTTACGTCTTGTGGTTCTCTTTGTCGTCTGGTCTCCTCAGAGCACGGCGGCCGGCATGAGCAGGACGGTGGCACCCGCAGCCTGATCACCAAGGTTCAGGAGCTGGCGTCGGCGAGGGAGGTGTGGTTCCGCGCGGCCGTCATCGCCGTGCCCGTGGCGGGCGGCCTCATCCTGGCACTGCTGGTGATGCTGGCCCTGCGCATGCTGCGCAGCGAGAGCCGCAGCCTGCGCCTGCAGCGGCAGCAGACGCTGGCCCGGCTGCAGCACGGCTTCCGTGGACATCGCCACAGCAACGAGAAGGGACTCCACCCGGCTAAGTTAGACGTGGGGTACGGGAGCCCTGTAGCCGGTTTACAGAGTGACGGTGCCTGCCCGGCCTGTGACAAGATGTACACGCCGGTCCTGGGCGGGCAAGGCATTCTCTCCCTGGTACACTGGGAGACGTACAGGGGGCCCCAGAAGCAGGAATTTGTCTGACCCTCCCTTTGGAGCCAGGCGGAACTTCCCATAACCATGTGGTCAGACTGTACCATTTACAGAAGGCAGGGGGAGAACTGAAGCGAATTACTTTTAATTTTTTTTCTTGATTGCACTTTACCTGAAATAAAGGCTCAGTCCACATGGAGCAGTAATTTAATTTGAGGCCGTCGGAGACGGTCGTACTTGAGCCCACTGGGTCCTGGACTTCTGTCGATTGCTGAAGGATTCCAAAATATGTATTATTTGCACATCCGTATAAAAGAGTAGGTCGTCTTGCTTTAAATGGAAGAAGGTCACTTTGACCTGAGTGTAGAAGGCTTTTTGCAGAGGGAGGATGTGTATATCAGTGTTAGGAATGCACCTTCCTTAGTGTCTGTTTTGTTTGTTTGTTTGTTTGTTTGTCATTTTTTAAATAGCATTATTTTGACTGGTAAACTGTTGGTTGTTCCCCACCTCCAACCCTCAGATGGAGGGGGGGCTTTCAGAAGCTGAAAGAGTTCTTACATTTCCACGGAAGCATCTGGAAGCTGAAAAGCGGAATCAATATAACATAGTTCATGTAATGAATATGCACAAGCTAAACATCTAGCTGCTGTTCAAATGTTTTATTGACTGTACCTATGAATAGCCGGCTTTCTAACGGTGTCAATTGATTTGGTTCGTTTGCTTGTTTAATTTGTCCTACTACCACTAATCCCTTGTTCTGTAGTGTTAATTTATAATATGATTCTGAGTAAAATGACTGGTATGCATTGTTAAATATGCACAATGCACTATTGCGTTTCAGCGTTTGTTTGGCCCCGATTGGCTTTAGCCTGCTGTTCATCCCGTTAAGAATTTTCCGGGGCGGCCACTTTCGCGAGTTCGTTTAGCAGCTGTTAATTTCACAATCGTTGCCATGGTGCTGCCGGCGTCGTCCTTGCAGAAGTCGCCTCCCTGAATCCCCGGCTTCTCCCAGAATCGCCAAGAGAACGAGGGTTAGTCTGCACTGTCCATCAGTCAGGATTTGGAGACGCATAAAGAACCGGTACGCTAATGGTTCTGTTAAAACTCCAGCTTGTTACTGTCCCTTTGGGTGGGGGATTGGGGGAGTCAAGGTCCGTAAACGCCCGTTGTCATTAGTGTCCCTCACCGATGGCCTGTTGCTGCCCCCAGGGCCATTAGCGTGGTATTAATAACAAACTCTGAACCTCCTATGCATTAACACTCTTCACTTAGCCACCAGTGTTACTGAGACGGGAACAAGGTCGATTCAGAACATTAACCAGGCTGTTAAATATTACAGTCCTGGGGAGGCAGTGCCCTGCCCCCATTCCCCTAAACCCCAAAGCAGTAGTTTTCCCCGTTTCGAAACTAATCCCTGCACCCACCTCTTCTTCCATTTCAATCCTTCTCAAAACCCAAATTCACAAAAAAAAACACGTGTTATAAATACAGAAAACAGCAGGTAGAATTCATAGCCCCCAGTCCTGCGCAGCATCAATGTATATTCATCACTAAAACAAACGCTTTCCTTAGAATAATTGCAGTTTAGTTTAAAATGGTTACGTGTGTCCAAGGAAACTAAAAAGTTAAACAAGACATGAGTCATTCAGTAGCAGCAGAGTGTACAGGATGTCGAGGGTGGAGTGGGGGGGTGTCCACAGCCTTATCCCTGATGGACAAGCGTTAAGTGGAAGGTTGGCGTAAATATTTAGCCCCTGAGAAGCACCGCTTCTCCAAGCATAGGAACGTAGCACGTTTCCCGTGTGCCTGCAGAAAATCATAATATCCGTCAGCTGGTGGCCTTGGAACTAAAGGAGCTAGAGCCAGTTTGATTCGGCCCGTGTCTGTAGGGGGTGGTGGGGGCAGAGTTGTGATGATGCTGCTTCACAGAGAACTTTACCTACGCAGCTGGGGCTAATATCTAATTGTGTAACCTTACAGAGGTATAACATTGTTAAGTTTGTTATAATACCATTAGGGAAGGAAACCAGTAAGCTGACTGGGATGAATGTCATAAGGCGTCCTGTTAAAATCAGCCTCACTGAGGGACGTCCGGGGAGAGTCGCAAAATGAACAGACGACAAAGAAACAGGCTATTCCAAACCAGCACTGGCTCTCACAGTGTAATTATGGAGCCACTGTAGGGTCCAGTGTGGTTCCACTGAGGTAGGCCAGGAATAGCTGCAGTGCATTGTGGGAAGGGGAGAAAACAGCTTCTGCCTGGGCGTTTGCAAACAGGGGGCCGTGGTTGTGACACCACGCCCCCCCCTGCACACCACGCTGGCTGCTGCCTGCTCTGCTCCCCCCCCTGTTTACAGTGCGCACAATGCAGTCGGATGGCAGTTGGCAGAAGCTGTTCTGACACCCATGAAGGGGTTGATCAAGTAGGGTGCCAGCTATAGGCTTGGGCCAACTTTCAGATGGAGTGCGGTTCTTACAGAAAGGCGACAGCTCTCATATGAAGCAATGGAGTGGTGAATATCCCCTTCACATAAAACATAACTATTACTGCTTGTGACAATGCCTGAATGGCAGTATAGCAGAGACCAGGAGCGCCTACCTGTTTAGGCCCCGGAGCTTTGCATTGGTGTTGTGGTAAGTTGGGTCCTGACCTTTGTCCCCATGACCCCTGAAGTGAACAGCCACACAGAGGTGAACATTTGCCCAAGCCAACATGTCTAAAGAGCAGGCCAGACAGTCTTTCTGGCACCGGCAAAGGTGGAGAATGTTCAGAAGAGACCCTCCTGGTAATATGAGGAGTTTCTGTCTGAACCAGGAACAGGTTTGATTAGACATACATCTGCCCTCCAGAGCTGGCCTGGACTCTCAAACATCTGACACCATGTTAGGTTTCCAAGGTAAAGAATCCCGATTTGTCTATGAGAAAGGGTAGTGAAGATGAATCAGTGTAGTAATTCGCCATCTGCATAAAACCTGAAAGTAACTGAACCCACTGTAGGTTATGAACTATGCCAGTTCATTCTCATGTTGCTGAAAAACAGAGTTTCTGCTCTCAATGGATTAATTACCTACATCATCACTCAAGCATTTTGCCCTTTTTGTTGTTTGTTTTTCTTTTTGGTGGTTTAGCGGGTGGAGTGTTGGTTGGCTTTCGCGTTCGGTGTGTTTCGGGAGAAAAGTGCATTCACGTCGTGCGTGCATATTGATCGCCACTGTCACAGAACCAGTAGGGCCCCCCAGGACCGAAAGCCAAGTGCCTGACAGTGATGTGTTCGTGTTTATGGAAGTTTGGGCCACTTTTGCACATGTTGGACGCTGCCACTGTTTCTCTGCTGCGTTTCAGAACTCCTTACCACTTTAACACACATGTGGGAACCCTGAACGTTACTGACGTTTGGATACCTTCTAAGGAAATGCATTTATGCAGGAGTCATTCCAAAGTTTACATGCCTTTTGCTTAAGAAGTACTTAGAGTTTATGTTTTTAAAGGGTTAACCTACTTTGATTTTCTCTGGCGAGGTCATGATGCTACTTACCTGACATCTCGATGCACGTTGAGTGGGTAAGTATCCTGACTTTCTGGGCACAGCTATGGCCTCTTGGTTGACTTCATCCAGTTCTCGAAAGCATATAAGCAAGTAAACCTCTGTCTATCACTGAAAGAAGTAACAAAATGATTTTCCAACAGGATGTCAACAGGATTTATTCATTTTAGAGATTTCCAAAGTCCAACTTGTTCCAAGGAGTTACCTGTGTTTTGATTGGTTCGCCGTCTGGGATTTATTGGCTATTCCATCGCATCATTGGTGAAGGAGCTTAAAGCACCACCCACCACCACCACTCTCCTTTGGCCAATCAAATTATTACATCATTAAACTATTAAGTAATACAGGGACGTGAGGAGGTTACATTTAATGCTGCCCACAGGGCTTCACTCAAGCCCAGATTAAGGCCGTTTCCTCAACTGTCATATTAGCTGTTGCTAAATATAATAATAAATGACATTTTTCATTAAACTGACTTGCAGACCATAATTCTTTAAAGGGTCATTTTCCCCCCAAAGGATAAATATGCTTTAAGCAGGTTAAAGATAAAAATGATTTCCTTTGTTTAACCGAGAACGTTTTTCCCTCCAAGAGAAATTCTGCGGTCATGCTCCAAACCAAGGTCCTGTAATTAGAGCCAGAGTCGATTTACAGTAATCTGATTACCACTGAACTGTGACTAGTGGGGGGGGGGCGAAAAAGCAAAATCATAAAGAATTTCATAATCAGATGAATGGCTATTTACTGCCAAGCTTTTCTTTAATGTTTATAGAATCCTTTGAAAACATTTTTATCTACCTTCTAGGACAAAGACACATTTTCCTTGATCATTCAGTGATTATCCACCAATGATTCATGGGAAATATATGTATGGGAGTTAGTACACATCAAAACCGTGAGCCCGCCGTATAGGAAGTGGCAGAAAGGCCAGAGTGAGCTGACCTATTTAATCTCTGCTATAGTGAAAGTTACTGACTAGAGAATAGATTATGAGCTGCAGGTTGGTTGCCAGCTCAGCGCTGAATGACCTCACCCCGCTTAGCCGTCGCTCGCTGTCCCAGGCTGCGCCGTTGCATGTGTCCTCTGCTTTTCGTCCTTTTATCATTCCTGCTATAACTTTGCTTACTTCCCTGGGAATATTCCGCATTGCACCTGGTTAACTCTGCTTCTGTGATTACTATTTATTGACACGCTACGCATGACCTTCTTTCTTCTCTTTTCCCATCTGCATGCAGCTCAGAGCCACCTGGCTCTCCACAGATCGTTAACCAGGCCTAGACATCCTCCTTGCAAGTGTCTGTGCAGAAAGCATCCGTGGGTTTGGCAAGGTCCAGTGCCCTGACGTAATCATCAGCACTGGCAATCTATCATTCCATCCATCCATCCATCCAGAACTGCTTACCCGACGCAGAGTTGCACAGGATCAGAATGATATCCCACAATGCACCAGGAGAGCGGTAAGGACACCCTGGGCAGAATAGCATTTCATCACTGGCCTCTTCTACAAAGGCGATATTTAGACAAGAGGTACACCACAAAGTACAGCTGTATTCCCACAAGAAAATGTCAGCTTCTACTGGTCTTTGAAAACTATTCTGGGATCACTACGGCACAGTGAAGGCATTCCAAATGATGATATACTGTGTGAAGTCTGGGTTGCTGCCTGTTTGTGCTGAAAGAGATTGTTACATACTCTGCCCATGAGTAGTATTGTCAGTGTGGGATAATGGTAGAGGACCCTTGGCTGATTCATCGATCATCAGCCAAGACATATTCTTATGCTGTCTCGTTTGCATTAAAACGACTGTAATACCTACAATACCGTAATGTTGTGTGTAATGTAGCAGCACATATTTGAGCCACTGGACATTTAGCATCTCCCGAACCTGATCAGTCCCCTGCTTTGGGTCACTTCAGGTCATGGCGCTTTATTTAAATTTTATGTTTTGTTCCCCCATCTGTCTCCCAATCGCTTATCCTAGTCAAGGTCGGTGGGGGGGGGCTGGTGCTTATCCCAGACAGCATGGGGCACAGGACTGGGGTACACCCCGGATGGAATGCCAGTCCATCAAAGGACAAAATATGAAAATGAACTTCCTTACTTAATGGTCTATATTTGGGGTGCTCAATCCTTGTCTAAGCGTCATCTCGAAATTATGTGCACCCTTGGACAGATGCTTAGATGGTAAATACT